TATTTTATTTCATATTTAATGTTATTAAATTGTACATGTTGGAATTGCAGAACAAAATCCACTTATATCATGGACTAATATATGTATACAAAATATGTAATTAATTTATGAAAGTAGTCCATTAACATTGTTAACTTAATCATCTAACTAGGAGAGTATGCGACGTGGGTGTCTGATTTTTTCCGTGTTTCCTTATTTTGTAGTGCCCAATAGGCTAAATTATTTGTCAAAACAATAGGACCCACCTTTCATTTTTTTCTTTAAAAATTTATTCTTTAAAAATAAATCGTTGAAATTTAGCATATACCTCATGAAGACATGAGTTATCGCTCCCCGTATCCCACAGAAAAGGTTAGTAACATAGTGAGAATTGAACCGTCGGTTTAGCATTCCAAGACCTAACGCCTTGTCCACTAAGTTTATTTATTTGTTTTGAACTTGTTTATTCTTAGAGCCATTTGTATTTCCAATATTTCATATGTAATACAATGAAATGCATACCTACGGAAAGAAAAGTAGAAACAATGAAAAATTATTCGTAAAAGATTATTGGTATACAATAAAATCACTGGTACTTTTCGTAATTAATACATATTAATCGTCGTCAGAATGTATTATATTTTGACAGATGTTAGAATATCCTCTGTACCGTGTAAAAATATCAATCTGATGATGTAATATACTAGAATAAATGGAATTTTTAACCTCTTTCCTGTTTCCTTTTTGTGTGGGTACCCACTGAACACCAAACCTAACAGTTACGTAACATAGAGCTACCTAGTTACATGACATTTATTACAATGCAGTAAGTTAACAGTTATGTAACATGGAGCTAACAGGTTACATAACATTTGTTACTATCATATCTATATAAATGTAGCATAACTTTGTTACTCTCATCTTACATTATGTTACTGTCCTGATATTACTGTGTATATGCAGCACATATTTATAACAGAACGGAACTACATTGGTGCTGTCATTTATTTTATTACATCATCGTTATCGTCATTGTCATAATTCATCGTCAAATAACATAAGATTATTATATGTCATGTTTTGTTTACTACTCGTATGAAAAAATGTGACTTTAATTCATACGCGCATATACATTCCTATTCATATCTATGTATATACATTCATATCTAACTATTGTTAAGTACCAAGAAATAATTAAAAATAAAAAATTATATAATTTTGGATAAAATTGCGTGATCTTTTTCATTAAATGGATGAAAAATTAATATTATTTTAAGGTAACTGAAATTATAGTATAGAAATTATAGTAACATAATGTAACATTGATATAACATGTTATATAACATGTTACATTACTGAGTGGGAAATAATAACTAACATCCAACTTCCATGTTACTTTTAAGCTACATAACATGTTAGTTTCGAAAACGTAACATTTACCCAATAGTTATATAACAGTGTTCACTGGGTATGCATCTTTATTGAATATTGAAAACAAACCTGTATCGAGCGTGGATTGAATTAGCGCTCCAGCGTTCCAAGTACTACCGCCTTAACAGTTAAGCTATCGACTGTTTCTACACAATTTGGTAATTTATATAATTATGAGAAAAATGCTAAATTTAAAAGGCTTATTTTTCACAAATTCCTGGCAGATGAGACCTATTGTTTCAACAAATAGTTTTGTCTATTGAAAAACATAAAATAATGAAGTACGGCGAAAATCGGGAACGACCACGTCTCGTTACTTTCCTGTAAATTGCATGTGCTTCGAAGCGTAGGTTTGTTCGATCTTTAATAATTATATTATATCAAGATATAATGAGTGAGAGATGTACACTGGCCGACATGAATGCCTTTCCATCATGCATTGCCGTTACTGTGTTTGCAGGGAAGGCATTCGTGTCGCTGTACGAGTCGACGTACAAGTCAACGGGCTGTTATAGAGCCCTCGGTGGTATCTCGGGTCTAAATCTGTTTTTTGCCCCGTCTTGAGATGCAGAGTGCGGGGAAGCGGGGCATGAGGGCGCGGGGGGGTGGGGGGTCCGAATCCCCCACTTAAAGCATATATGCCCACTCGACGGCAACTCACGCCGTCCATGCTCTTCCCCTCGCTTTGTAATGCTTCAGGTCGTCCGTGCTGCCATCTAGCGTTCCACTTGATGACTATTTATTGGGCATCAAGCGTCAACACGGGAACTGGGCTTCTATGGAGACTTCGAAATTCTTTGCGACCCGCCAAAACTTTCTTCTCCCGGTCGCGCGCTCCCTCTTACCGCAGCGCCGCACACAATCCGGCGTGCACCTTAGTGTCGCATTTGCGCGGGTGCTTTGAATCATAGTTCTTACGGTTTTATTAGAAAGAATAATTTTCCTGTATTCTCCTACATTAGACCTTTCAGGGAATTCATCACCTTGTGTTCAGCTTAATAAACAATATGAATAAATATTATTCTCTCAGCCTTTTTACTTTTTTGAAATGCTTTATAAATGTGCTTTGTATGTGTTAAATTTTTCATAATATTCATTAGCCTCTTAAATATGTAGTTTTCTTCTNCCTTCTCATCCATTTTAATGACGTATATTAATTTATAAATAATTTTTCAAGCCCTGATATTAATATGCAAATATTAAATCCAACCCAACAACCTCTTCGTTCAACCTATTTTGTTCACAAATTAGCAAAACATTAGAGGGTTAAATTCATATCAACATAAGAAATAATTGGAAACGTCGAATTTGATTGTGATACCTTTCTGAATGAACGTGTTCCTCTTTTCTTTATTTATGAAAGATGCAGTGATAAATTATCACGTTTAACTTCGAATATCATGATTAATTCACTGCGTAACTCGTATATGAACAAAAATATAAACGCAGAAATCGATCTCTTGAGGCGTAACTATGAACGGCATACTTTTGACAACAGAAATAATCAATAAGTATATACTAGCGAGCGAATCAGGTGTACTTCAAGTGATTCAGGTTATATTCCTAGACGTTGTTCATTCGTGATTCGCTGTAGAATAGTATAAAATGGAATTTTTTTTGGCAAATAGTTTGTTTAGTCGTCGAAAGTATGAAAAGTGTGCAACAATATGCACAGATTTGCTAAGAAAAAACCCTTTGGATCAGGTAAATTAACTTTAATTTAATAAAGAAATATTCGTGCAAAAATTTCCAACTATGTATGCATCCTATTGAGTATTCGTTTTTTTTTATTAAAAGAAAAGATATCAATTTTCGATGAAAAATGCATTGTTTAAACGTATTTCTTCAATTTTCTAAGCGAATAACAATTTTAATAAATCATTTTAGAAACATTATCATGTTGACTCGTCCACGTGTAAATAAAACTTGCGAGAGCTGCTCTCAGACAGTTCTTACCATAGCATACATGGTTTTGGAACTGAATTTGTGCAAATTTATTGGTAGTGTACCCGCAAATTCAAACTGCTATTACAAGAAATGTCGCAAGTTACTTGCATATGGACACGAGCCTTAAGGGAGTCAGAAATTCAAACTTGTAACTCTTTCAGAACTTTTTGAATTAATCGGAAGTTAATGAATTCTTTTCTGCTTGTGTTAGCTTACGAATGCTTATACACATTACTTACGTTTATGTTATATAAACAGACGGCATGGCTATTACAAATGCGAGCTTTAACACATCAAGTTTACGTCGATGACATCGAGAGCGAGGAAGAGGGTATTGCCGAATATTTGTTAGATAATTACACAATAGCTTCGATGCCCAGACCAGGAACTTCTTTGAAAAATCCTGGTGTTACCCTTTCGGGACAAGCTTTTCGCCCTAAAACTCAATCAGGTATATTTTACTTCCTTGTAACTAATCAAAATGACATTAAATCAAGATAATCGTATTTTGATTTTTAAATGAATTTATATTTATTTTAAAGGAAGACCGGTTTCCGGGGTGATTAGACCGGCGACCCAATCAGCGGTTTCTCAAAACATAGAACAAGCTTTGAAAACTCCTCGAACTGCTACAGCGAGACCCATCACGGCAACATCTGGACGTAATATCAGGTAATATTAAAGTTTTGAAAAGAATCAATGTCGGCAATCTTTTGCACAGACAATTAATTTTCGTTATTTATTTCTATTTTCTCCATCAGTAAGAGCACAAGAGATACATATTATCCATGTTCCAATGTTTTTCCCAACTTGAGATTAATGACAGTTTTCAATGAAAATTGTGTATTTTATTGTTTTTCATTAGTTAATTAAAGAAGTTTCATTTCGTTTAGATTAGGCACGGTATCCATTTTATCAGAATCGGATGGATCATTAATTCAACTCTCCAGATTGAACATTTCGAAGTATGCAAGTCAACCAGGAATTGCAAAATCATTATTCGAATATATTTATTACCACGAAAACGATCCAAGATACGTAAGTAAAAATTCCTAAATAATGGTTGCCTGTGAAAAAAGTGTAATAGATCGAACATTTTTGTTTCGCAATATATTCTGGAAGCCCAATGAAAAACATCAATATCGTGTTAATCTAATGAAAAAAATGTTAGTTTCATTAAATTTACTTTAACTGTTAATTTTGAAAATAAAAGAACAAATTACATAAACGTGCACATAAAGTTACACAGATTGGTCTACTTAAAACTAAACCTGTAAATATCATTTCCATGGATTTCCAGAGATATAGAAATGATATTTATTTATAATGAATTTATATATTTATTTTTCAATAGAATTAAACTGTTAATTAAGACGAATTTAAATGGCAATTTATCTCTCCTATTTTTCAAAATAATGCCACTTTTAAGATGACACGAAACTCACTTCTGAAGCGTCAAAATATTTATGAAACTCCGACCTAAGTGCATCGAATCATTTGAAACTTTAGCATGTGATTATGGAGGCCCTAAAGACGAACATAACTCTCATGAAATTTCAAATTTAAAAAAAATGTTATAATTTGTCCCGAATTAAAACCAAGAACAAATATTTTTGATATTTTACATCGTTTGAAAACTTAGAATAGAAAACGAAGATTTTCAGGTATGATTATGCCAAACATGGATCCTTGATAAATTCTCTGAATTGAGAAATAAATATTTGTCAAATTGAAGTAAGATTTCGTCAGAAATCAAATCAGAAATTGAATTATTGGCATAAAGTATTCGGTGTCGTTTGTACATGCTTTGTAATGTATTTGATGCGTAACTACCGAGTTTCCTCATCACAATTTCGAAGAGAAACTTTCAACTTCAAATATCACCAACTCCTCCTAATTTCAGTAATTACTATGGGGTTTAGGACACCCTTTATACCTATGTTAGATGAGTTTTGAATATTACGATCATTTACAACAAGTTTGTAACAAAATACAACATGTATCGTTGATTGCAACAGAAGAGTACAATAGCGCCCTTCTCGAGGCCGAAACCCAGTGAATACTGTTATATAACTGTTGGGTAAATGTTACGTTGTCGAACTAACATGTTATGTGGCATAAAAGTTACATGGAAGTTAGGTGTTAGTTATTATTTCCCTCTCGGTAAGGTAACGTGTTATGTAACATTGTGTTATGTATTAATGTTATTATTTCAGTTACCTTAAAATAATATTAAGTTTTCATGCATTTAATAAAAAAGATCACGTAATTTTATAA